GTGAGAGCCTGTATGTGTGTGTGTGAATGTGTGAGTGTGTATGTGTGTGTGTGTGAGCGCGTGTATGTGTGAGTGTGTGTGAGTGTGTATGAGTGTGTGAGTGTGAGTGTGTGTGGGTGCGAGTGTGAGCGTGTGTGTTTGTGTGTATGAGTGTGTGAGTGTGCAAGTGTGTGAGAGTGTGTGTGTGTGCATGTGTGTGAATGAGTGTGTGTGAGTGAGTGCGTGTGAATGGATCTGTGTGTATTTGTGTGTGTGTGAGCGTGCATGTGTGTGTGAGAGAGAGTGCATGTGTGTGAATGGATCTTGTTTGTGAGTGCACATGCGTGTGTGTTTGTATAAGTGTGTATCAGAGTTGTACACGTGAATGGATCTGTGTGTGTGTGAGTGCGTGTGTGTGTGTGGGTGTGTGTGAGTGAATCGATCTGTGTGTGTGTGAGTGTTTGTGTGTGTGTGAGAGAGTGCGTGTATGTGTATGTGTGTGTATGTATGTGTGTGAATGTGACAGTGTGTATGTGTGTGTGTGAGTGTGTGAGAGCATGTATGTGTGAGTGTGTGTGAATGAGTGTGTGTGAGTGAGTGTGTGTGAGTGAGTGTATGTGAATGGATATGTGTGTGTGTGAGTGTGTGTGTGTGTGTGAGAGAGAGTGTGTGTGTGTGTGTGAGTGTGAGTGTGCGTGCGTGTGAGTGTGTGTGTGAGTGTGGAGACAAAAGGGCCCATTCTGCAGGACGTGTTCTCCCCCAGACCCTCAGAAAAGGAGCGTTTCCCCGCCCCAGTACCGGTGTCCGTGCCCTGTCTCCCAGTTCCCTCTGCGCACCTCTCCTGCAGCTCCCAAACCAGGAGCGCCTGGACTCGAACTGCTGACCCTGTGCTCTCTCTCTCCCTCGGTACACTCCCAGCCATGTCTGGGATAACGCAGCGTGGGAGACGGAGGAACACAGCGGGACGGGCAGCATCAGAGGAGCAGGAGAGGCGGCGTTTCGGGAAAAGTTTCTGAAGAAGGGTCTAGGCCCGAAACGTCAGCCTTCCTGCTCCTCTGATGCTGCCTGGCCTGCTGTGTTCATCCAGCTCCACACCTTGTTATCTCCCCTGTTTCTCCTGTCAGCCAGGGCTCCCTGCTTGGACCTGGTTAAACGTGCACCCCCCCTCCCCCCCAACCACAAGTCGGGGAGCTCAGATCCTGTGAGGCCAAACATTAGCTGACATCTTCACAATTGTTACATTCCCCCCCCTCCCCTCGGAGTGCGAGGGAATGGAGTGGCGGGGCGGGGGGGTGGCGATTCCTCCCAACTCTGCCACTGGGGGGGGGGTGAGGGGGTGCGTGCGGCGCGGCAGCTCGTCTCCTGCGTTCCGTGGGATGCCCCCCCCCCCCCCGCCTCCCCAGAAAAAACCCTTTCTCCTCCTCGGGAGGCCAGGGAGACGACCTCCTCGGATTCTCCGAGGCGTCTTCAGAGACGGAGAGGGGGAGGCTTCCCGGAGTGGAGAGCTGGGGGAGATGGCACGTTTGGCTCCTCGCCCCTGCCCCCGCTCCTGCAGCTTCCACGTGGCACAGGATGGTAGGGGGAGGGTCCGTCGCACGTCCCCGAACGTTCACCTCGCCTCGACGCAGGCCCCTTAAAGGCACAGGGCCTTTGCTGTGGTCCCCTGAAGCGAACCGTGCACCCACCCCACCGCCCACCTCTTGCTTGGCAGCATCTCGCGCGTCTGGCGTCGGTGATCCCGACATGGTTTCACCCTGGTCCCCCAGGCCCTGGAAGGTCAGGTTTGACCCGACGCGCACTCTCCTCCCCGCGAGCAACTCTGCAGGAGCTGTCCCTCCAGTTGCGTGAGGGGTGCTGCTCTAATCGAACAGGAATTGGGGCAGTTTGGGATGGAGTGAAGCTGTGGGCGGGCCTACCCACAAAGTCTGGTCTGCCCTCTTCACCAGACCACTGGGCGAGGGATGGTACCGTTCCAGTTCGGAAAATCCTCAAATTCCCTGTGGGCAGGTGATCGCCTGTTGTTCATGACTGACTCCTCCCGGAGTCTATGCAATGCAGAAGGTGCTCGCAGTTTTTGTATTGTCTCTGATGAATGAACTCTGTACACTTGAGTGGGCATCCACATTGACTGAAACCATGGAGAGCCCATGAACTCAGAGCTCCTGTCAAAAAAAACCCTCAAAATTCCAGCCTAATAATCTCAAAATCTCTGTCAGGTAAATTCAAAGCTCCTCTCCAATAATTTCAAAAATCCTTCCAAATAAACCAACATTTCTGTCAAATAATTGCAAGATTCCTGTTCATTAAATTAAGACTTAGGAGCAGAAATTAGGCCATTCGGCCCATCGAGTCTGCTCCGCCATTCAGTCATGGCTGATAAGTTCCTCAACCCCATTCTCCTGCTTTCTCCCCGTAACCCTTGATCCCCTTGATAATCAAGAACCCATCTATCTCAGTCTTAAATGTACTCAATGACCTGGCCTCCACAGGCTTCTGTGGCAGTGAATTCCATAGATTCAGCACTCTCTGGCTGAAGAAGTTTCTCCTTATCTCCGTTCTAAAAGGTCTTCCCTTTACTCTAAGGCTGTGCCCCTGGGTCATAGTCTCTCCTACCAATGGAAACATCCTCCCAACATCCACTCTCTCCAGGCCATTCGGCATTCTGATTCGGTATTCAATTAGATCCCCCCTCATCCTTCTAAACTCCAATGAGTATAGTCCCAGCGTCCTCAATCGTTCCTCGTATGTTAAGCTTTCCATTCCTGGGACCACTCTCGTGAACCTCCTCTGGACCCGCTCCAGGGCCAGTGCATCCTTCCTGAGATATGCAGCCCAAAACTGCACACAATACTCCAAATATGGCCTGACCAGAGCCTTATAAAGCCTTGGTAGTACATCCTGCTTTTATATTCAAGTCCTCTCAAAATAAATGCCAACATTGCATTTGCCTTCCTGACTACTGACTCAAGCTGCAAGTTTACCTTGAGAGGATCCTGGACTAGAACTCCCGTCTAGAACATCTCTGTGAATTAACCTTGAAATCCCCGTACAAAGAAAATTGAAATTTCCTCTTAAATAATTTCAAGATATCTTTCAAATAAACAAAAATTTCTGTCAAATAATTACAAGATTCCTGTTAAATAAATTGAAAATCTCTGCGAATTAATCTCAAGATCCCTGTGTCAAATAAACTCAAAATTCCTGATAAATAGACTCAAAATAAATAAATAAACTCAATGAACTGGCAAGAAAATTCAAAAATTCCTCTCAGACAATTTCAAAACTCCTGTTAAATAAATTCAAAACTCCTGTTAAATAATTTCAAAACTCCTGTTATAAAAACCCGAAGTCCTGCCAAAATTGTTGCCGATCGATTGATTAAATAAATCCTGAATTGATGAATGATGAACAGTAAATTCTATAAGATCTCCAATCCTTCAGATTAGTCTGAATATCCTTGTCAGATCAAGCCCAGATCTTCTGCAAAAATAAAATCCTGCCAAATGGTCACTGTAAAATAAACCAAATACACCTGATAAAGAAACCCTTATCCCCACAATTTGGTTATAAACGTCCTGATTCCTCTAAAGTCCTGTATTATAGGACTATAGATTCCTCCTAAATCCTGTATTATAACCCCCCAAAGCCTGTAATATAAACAGCAGGATACTGACAAACACCTCAAACCTGTCACACAAGGACTTTGAGATAACAAGGTGTAGAGCTGGATGAACACAGCAGGCCGAGCAGCACCAGAGGAGCAGGAAAGCGAGGACTTTGTGTGTGATATATCAGATTAATGCCTTACTGATACGTTACTGCCGTCTGCTGTGAGTTAACACTGAGCTCCATTCTGCTCGCCAATCTTACTGTGGACACCTGGTTCCAGATCGGATTTCTTGTGTCGAGACTCTTATCTGAATCACTTTCAGCGCTTAAAGTCTTTTCTTCCAGCCCTTACGTCGTGCAAATTCTAATCTGTACCCTCTGACTGTGAAAATGACTCTGTGGTGTGGAGCTGGATGAACACAGCTGGTCGGGTAGCATCAGAGGAGAAGGAAAGCTGACGTTTCAGGTCGGATCCTTCTTCAGAAATGGGGGAGGGGGAAGGGGGCTGTGAAATAAATAGAGCGGGGGGTGGCGGTGATAGAAGGTGGATAGTGGAGCGGATAGGGTGGGAGAGAAG